CCCATCACCTCCTGGGAAATTGAAGGGGAAGATATGGAGGCAGTGACAGATTTTACTTTCTTGGGCTCGATGATCACTGCAGATGGAGACAGCAGCCACGAAATTAAAAGATGCCTGCTTCTTGGGAGGAAAGCGATGACAAATCTTGACAGCATCTTAAAAAGCAGAGACATCACCTTGCCAACAAAAGTCCGAATAGTCAAAGCGATGGTTTTTCCTGTCATGATGTATGGATGTGAGAGCTGGACCATAAAGAAAGCAGACTACCGAAGAATTGATGCCTTTGAATTGTGGTGCTGGAGGAGACTCTTGAGAGTTCCCTGGACTGCAAAGAGAACAAACCTATCAATTCTAAAGGAAATCAACCCTGAGTGCTCACTGGAAGGACAGATCCTAAGCTGAGGCTCCAGTACTTTGGCCATCTCATGAGAGGAGAAGACTCCTTGGAAAAGACTTTGATGTTGGGAAAGTGTGAAGGCAAGAGGAGAAAGGGATGACAGAGAACGAGATGGATGGACAGGGTCACCGAAGCTACCAACATGAATTTGACCCAACTCCGGGAGGCAGTGGAAGACAGGAGGGCCTGGCATGCTCTGGTCCATGGGGTCACGAAGAGTCGGACATGACTAAACGACTAAATGACGATGACGATGATCATACCATCAACATAATTAAAAAAAGGCACAATGTCCATTTCTGGTATACAAGCAGCAATTTCCCTTCCTTTGGTTGAAGTAGCAGCTTCTGCACTTTGTCCTTCCAGGCTCTGGGTGCATGCTTCAACTCATCTAGGCTTTTTTTCAATTTACAAATGATGTCAGGGTGTTCCTGGTCAACGGAACCTGGCACTTGTTACATATAAAGCTCTTCTTCAATCTCTCCATGTAGAAACTGAGTCTTGACATCTAGGTGTTTTGCTTGCATCTGTCTGGAGGCTGCCACGCTCAGGAGCATTCTTACATAATCATAAAAGAATTGGGTTGGGAGGGGCCTAGAAGACTATCAAGTCCAACCCCCTGCTCAATGCAGGAATCCAAATCAAAGCAGATATGGCAGATGGTTGTGCAATTATCTCTTGAAGGCCACCAGTGCTGGAACACTCACCAACTCCTCAGGTCATGGGTCCCATTGTCATACTGCTATAACAGTTAAGAAGTCCTTCCTGATAGTCTGTCCAAATCTAGCTTCCTGTAGTTTGAGCCCATTATTATATGCCCTGCACTCTGGGATGATCAAGAACAAGTCATGCCCCTCCTTTTTTGAAAAGTGAAATTAGATTTGTCTGTCAGGCTTTGTTCGTGACAAATCCATGCTGTCATCAACTTACTACAGCATTTTTAGAAAGGTGCTTGTGGAGTGGCTGCTTTGTAATCTGCTCCAAAATTTTTCATTGGATTGATGTCAGGCGACAGGTTGCAGTTCCCTTCTTCTTCTGCCCCTTTTGGAAGATTGGAACAGTGCTAGCCCTCCTCCAATCACCTAGCACTTTGCCCCATCCTCCATAATTTAAAGAAAATAAGAGACCGTGCTTCTGAGGTCTTTTTAGCCACTTCCTTCAATAGCCCGGGATGCAGTTAGAGGATCTGAACTCAGTTAAAGTAGTAAGGTACACCTTGACTGTTTCTCAGTCTCAAGATGACCGAGCTGAAGTAGGGAATGAGCACTTCTGCCTTTTCTTTGTTGTCTGTTATAATTTTCCCTGTTTCTTTTCTTTGTCTTTTGCCTTTCATGTACCCGAAGAATGCTTTTTTGTTGCTTTTAGCATCTCTTGCTCACTGCAGCTCATTCCCAGCTTTTACTGTGCTGTGTTTGACAACTGCAACAAAAGGTTCATCAGAGTCTTCTCCATATTTTTACAGAAAACCAGCAAAAACAGGCAAGGGGGTGGCACACCTCTGTTGGATCATGATGAGTGTCTGTCTGTTGGTTCTGGAACCCGTGTGGACATGTGTGCTTGTTGCCTGGGACCTCTTAGTTGCACAGCTTGGCCGCTTACTCCATCTGCATCTCCTCCTTTTGGTGTACTGTTTTCATCTGGTCTGTCCTCCTCCTCCTCTGTCTCAGACTCAGTTTGTGAGGCCACTGACATTACTATGTCTGGGAGAGGTGGGTGGCATTGATCTTGCTCATTAGAGCTGACTAACATAATACCTTTTGTCAGTCTTCCTTTATTCATCAGAGTGAACCACATGTCCTGCCCTGACTTCACCTGTCCTTAGACTCATGACTGTGTGCCCTTTGACATCAGAAGCACAGCCAACAAATATTGTCTGCCCAGTTCTAGAGTCTAATTTATGCCTTTTCTCTTTGAGATGTAAGAGTGTGCAGTGCTTCCAAATCTCTACAGTGGGGTCTTGACTTGAGAACTTAATCCGTATTGGAAGGCGGTTCTCAAGTCAAAAAGTCTGTAAGTCAAGTCTCCATTGACCTACAGTGCATTGAAAACGATTAATCCCGTAACAGGCCGTTTTTGTTCCATTTTGGTTTTTTTCTGGTCTGTAAGTCAAATCTCAGTCTGCAAGTCAAACCTAAATTTTGCGGCCAGAGAAGTCTGTAACTCAAAAAGTCTGTAAGTCAAGCCGTCTGTAAGTCAAGGGTCCACTGTAGTGTGTTTACATTTGAGACCCTGCCATGACACATTTCAAGCAGCATTTTGTGGATGCCTTTTGTTTGTAGTCTCTTCTGGGGATACATTGTTGTCATGATTGCATGACCCCAAAGCTTCCCGGGTAGCTCTGTGTTTGCAAGCGTGCATTTAGTCATCTCTAGAAGAGATCTTAGTTTTCTCTCCACTAGTCCATTCTGTTCATAGAGAACAGACCGTCTGTGCAGAATGCCTTGTTCTTCAAAGAATGACTGTGTGTAGTGTGAAATGTACTCACCGCCATTATGCAGTTGGAATGCCTGGGGTTTTCCTCCAAATTTGTTCCTCGCCATGGCCATATATTTCTTCAGAAGGTTGTGGGTCTCCCTTTTGTTCTTCAGTAGATATGTGACACAACACCTTGAGAAATCATCCATGAAAATTAGAATGTATTTGTTGCCTCCCATTGATGGCACACTGATCCAGCCACACAGGTCAGTATGAATTAATTCTAATAACTTTATGCTTCTTTTCTCAGTACTTGAGCAAAATGAAGGTCTGACCCCACTCAAGGGAAGCTTCCCTGAAGAAAAAGGTATACACCTGCTTGCAGAAGGACAGCAAAGAGGAGGCCAGCCTGGGTCTCCAGTGGGAGGGAGTTCCAGAGTCTCTGGGAGCAGCGACCGAGATGGCTCTCTTCCTGTGTCTCCACCAAGCATGCTTGTGAGGGTGGTGGGACTGAGATAAAGGCCTCTCCTGATGACCTTAACTCCCGAGCAGGTTCGTAGAGGGAGAGGCAGTCCAGAGGCTCCAAGACGCAGGCAAATAACCAACGACCTCTCTCACACAGCCTGGGCCTGTTCAAAATTGCAGCCCTTGGAGACCCGCTTTCAAATACATGGAAAGGGACTCATCAGGGAATCCAGTCACAGGTCTCCCTCCTGTCACCTTTGGAGACAGGTGGCATCCTTGGTGTCCAGGAACTGCAGGTGTTGCGAGTGCGAAAGATGCACCTCCTTCTGTATCCACACATATTCCCAAGGGTGCTGAGGCAGTGAGGCGGCAGCCATGCAACCTCCCTCCTGCCCTTCTGGCCCCCCCCCAAGGAGGTGGGTGGGTTGCTCTCTTCCATTGCCACCAGCCGTTGCTGCAGCTCTCCCTTCCCTTTGCCCGCTCCGGCCCATTCTCGGTATTTCCCTATTTTTGGAAAGGTGAAATGGGCACGGAGGAAGGCTTGGAGAGTTCAGGCCCTGCTCCTGGCAGCAGCTCATGCTGCAGGAAAACAACAACATCCGTGCCCGGGTGAGAGGCTGGCACCCCATAAATCCCCTTCCGCAGGTGCTTTGTAGCCTCCAGGAGGAAATGAGGGCACGACTCAACTCGGCCAAATGCCCTGCAGTTTCCTGCAGGTGAGTCAGAAACAGCGGGTGGGGGTGGGGGTTGAGAGCCAATGCTGCTCATTCCTGGACTGGAAGGGGAGGCCTGTCCCTCCCTTGGGCAGAGACTGGACAGGAGCTGTGGTGAGCTCCTGATACCCACAAGGGGCAAGGGAGTCTTGCCCCTGCCCCTCAGAATCCCAGATCTGTTTTAATATAGACAGACAGACAGACTTTGTTATGAGGGTGCAAGTTAGGGTACGATCAGACAGTGCTTCATTTCATGTTATCATATCCTCCACAGTCAGATTCAGATTTTCAGATTAGGCCTCCTTCAGTCTTGAGAGACGATGGTCACGTGCTCTGTATGGAGGACTTGGAACAGCATCTGGTGTGGCTGAGGAGGCCAATGCGAGAGTGACCATCCCTTCCACACTGAAAACAAATCCAAGCTGTCCCCTGTCCAGCTCCCTGGTTTTGCTGGTTTTGGGTCTCCATAGTATGTCTCCTGATATTCTGGAGAGTGTTGGCATCGAGAGAGCTTATGCAGGTAGTAGATTTCCTGATGTGGAGGCTCTCGATATGAAGGGGAGATATGGTGCCTCTTCTCCAAACGCTTGTGAGGAGGGGACTGCCACGAGGAGGAGTCGGAATTGGAAAGTTGAATAAAAGTTGCCTGCCCTGTAGATGTAGGGTTCGTGTGGGCCGAGGTCGGGCTGGAAAAAACATCAGCCACTGAAGGGTCATGAGTGGGCAAGAGGCTCGGTAAAGAGGTTGGAGCCTGGCCCGGAGGTAGCGGAAGGGGGTCCTCCATCTCTGACGGGGAGTCAGGAACCTCCCTCGAAGACCTCTCTAGAATCGGAGATGAAAGAGATGGTGGATGAGAAGGAGGCTCCAGCAGTTGGTGAGGCTTGGAAGGACGTTTAGCCTTCTTCTGCTGAATGTTCTCAAGAGGAGTCTCGAGCCCATATTGAAGAGAGCTTTGAGATCAACGCCAATTTCGACTGCAAGGAGGACTTTGAGGTCAATCTTTGCTTCAGTGATGGGGTGGTCGGTGCCGAGACCGGGTCTGCCAATTCGGATCTTGGGATGGGCATCAAGGTAGGCTCCATGATCGTAGGATCAGAAGGTTGGAAGGATTTCTCCCAAAGGAAAGATTGAAGGTGCTGGAGGTGTAGCTTGAGTGCAGCTTTTGTCAGTCTCATGCATTCTGGACAGGAGTGAGTTTGGTGTTGTTCCCACAAACAAAAAAGACAGCAATCGTGGCTGTCAGAGAGGGGAATCTTGTTGGCACACAAAATGCAATGCTTAAATGGGCCCAGAGGGACCATAAAAGGGGCGGGAGATGGGGTGGCGGCGGCGGAAACGAAGGTAACAGAAAAAAGGAGATAAAACTCACAGGGAAACATCCAATGGGAAAAAAGTATCAAATGTGCCAGGGAGGCAAGGAGAAGATCCAAAGATCACGAATGAAATAGTTGCTCTAGTCATCATGAAGGAGTCTGAACTCAGCACTGGCTAAAAGGAACGGAATTTCAATGGGTGAAGCATGCGCTCCATGGGGGAACGTCCTACTAATCACGTGTTTTTAAGCTCTGGAAATTTCCAAGAAGTCCTGCGCAGGTGCAGAATTAATCCATTCATGTGCATTCACAGAGGCCAGGACGAAGAACAGACAGTGCTTCATTTCATCTTCTGGACGGCTTTGGGACGGGGTGGATTTGCTCCATTTTCCAGCAACCACGTGACATGCAAGCAATCACGCACCCTAGAATCACAGAAACCTAGAATAATGGAGTTGGAAAGGGCCTCTAAGGCAATAAAATCTGCCCCCTGCTCAAAGCATGAATCCAAAGCAAAGCAGGTCTGACACGTGATTGTCCAATTTTCTCTTGAATGTCTCCAGAGTTGGAGCACTCGCCCCCCACCCCAGCTGGGGTCACTCCTGTAGTTCCATTGTTGTACTGCTGTAACAGTGAAGAAGTTTTTTTCCCCCTGATATTCAACCAAAATCTGGCTTCCTCTAGCTTGAGAACAGGTCATCCCAGAGTGCAGGACATTCTGGGATGACAGAGAACAGATCCTGCCACTCTTCTGTAGGACAGCCTTTCAAGGCTTTGAAGAGTGCTCTCCTCCTCTCTCCCCTCAGCCTTCTTTTCTCACGGCTAAACATTCCAGGTCTTTCAGTCTTTCCTCCTTATAAGGCTTGTTTTCCAGTCCCCTGATCTTCCTGGTGGCCCTCCTTTGAACTTGCTCCAGTCTAAACCTATTCCATGGATCCTTTTTTCCCCAAGTGCAGTGGGATCACTTGGTGTGAGTTTGGTTTCTGGCATGCATGATCGCCGAGCCAGTACCCAAGCGACACTGGCAGGTGGTTCCCCCAGCAAGTCAGTGCTGTGCCACTTTGATGGCATACCAATAACATGATACATCACTTGCCAATAAATGGGGGGGGGGGAATGAAGCTTTCCCCCACTCCTCATGAAGGGGAGGGGAGGCTGGCCCATGTTCCTGCAGTCACAGCTGCCCACTTCCATGTGTGCCCATCAGATGCCACTTCTAGAGGGAGAGGGCACTGAAGCTAATGGGAACCTGCTCTGGAGGCAACGGAGGGCTGGCCGGGCAGGTGATGCTGCCGCTCTTCAATTGCCCGAGGGAGGATGAGTGGGGTGTGTGCGTGCGTGCATACCTGTGCCTGTGTGTGCGTGTGTGTGTGTGCATGCCCACATACCTGTGTAGTGGAGGCCAACAGGGTCAAAAGAATCAACAGCCCGACCCGGGTGGTGTTGATGGTGGTGCCATCAGTCCATCAACGTCCCAAAGCAGGAGGAGCAGAAGCGTCTCCAGAGGAAGGGAGCCAGCCAACCTAGGTGTATCCTGGTGGCCAAATGTCCTCCTTTAGGAAGGACAGTCCTCCCTTTGGAGAGCAGCCCTCCTTTTGGGGGTTGTTTAAGTGGCCACACGACACACACCCATCCCTGGCTGAGCAGGGAAAGCAGAGGCTTTGACTGGTCAATGTACCTGATCAGCCCTCTCTCAATTTTTTAAGTAAAATGGTTGAGAGGGTGGAGTCATTTTGTGAGAAAAAGAAGCAAGCCACACACTGACAATTGACAGGAAAGACATGGCCTCGCTGGTCAATTCTGTATGAACACTGGATGGGAGGTCAGTCCCAGGAGTGGAGCTTCTAAAACGACCATTCAGGCCACTCCTCGGAAAGAACTGGTTGTTGTCTAGCTAGATATTTTAACAAAACTACAGTAACCTCTGTTTATTTTCTTTCTATAAATGCTGAATATACAAGGCATAGGATGCCACCATACATTTAATTGGATGAAATGCTTGAAATGTTTTCCCTGGAAAAAATGGTGTTATAATTTTTTTCCTGTTTTATTCATAGCATATAGTCCTTGAAGAAAATATATATATATATATATAAAACATAGACTTTGAAGAAGGCTGAGAAGGCTAAGCCAGAATGTGTTGGGCTTTTAATTTGGAATGAAGTGCACTGTAAACCTTTTACATGCTGGGACCGGAGGCTCTTTGTGCCTTACAGCTTTGGTGGATGTCCCCGTTCCTTTCTGTTCTTGTTGCAGGATGCCACCAACCAGGCAAAAGCCCAGGGCATCGGCTCACAGCCACCATGTCCTTCAATCTGTCCAATGTGACACCGTTTTAGAGTGTTATTAAACACTCTGCCTGATTTGTTTGATTTTATACCCCATCTTTCTCTCAGTGCTGTGTCCCAAGGTCACACAGTCCCGAGGTGCAACAGGGTGAGGATGGCAGCAGAGTATTTCCCCTTAAACTGCAGTAATCATGTCTGATCATGAATACTATTTGCATATCTTAGCTTAAATAAGAGTGCACCTTCCCTTAGGCAGAATGCCCTCCGTTTTGGAGCGGTTTGGGCTACAGGCCCTCCTTCTGGGGATCTCTCTCCTCCTTTTGGGCCACGGAGCCTCCGCCCTCCTCTCCACCTGCCAAGGTCAACCAGGCGAGCCTAGCTTTTGTCTTTAGTGCGGTGGAGGCAACTGGTCAATTGGTCACCTGGTTGTCCCAGCCTCGTGGTGACCTTTCAGCTCCATTTGGCCCTCTGGGCAACCTGGCTCCTTGAGCCTAGGAGGGCATCACATCTGGCCCACATGTGCTTGTGGCTCGAACCCAGGTCTTATACACTTTTCACCTGCTGAAGAGCGTGACCCAGCTCCAAAGCTCATCTTCTTTGGAACTGCTCAGTGACCCAGTCACGATATTGCTTCACCCAGGGCTGGGCCAGGAAGGTTGAGCTGCCCTGGCCCTGCGATGCCAGAACCAGCAGAGAGCTTTCTGGGGGCGCCTTGAAGGCGAATGCCTTTGATTTGGCAGGAGCTTCTGGGGGCCGCAGCCACCCACGCTTTCAGGGGCATGGAGGGCTCAATCCAGCAGAGTGAGCCTGGGGGCCCTTCTTGCCAGAGCCCGCTTGTCTTGAGTCTCAGCCAAGCCTGCCACAGGAAGCTCATTTCGGAGACTGGCCGTGGCCCACCAGACCAAGGGGCAGCCACGTTTCTGGGCCCTCTGTGCTGATTGACTGACCCGCAGATCATCTAATCAAGTTATGCACAGTTGATCCAAAAAGGATCAATCTCAAAATGTTTCCCAGTACAGGACAAAAAGTCCAAACAGTCACTAACAAACAAACAGAACATGCTGCAAATCCACACACGTCCTCAGTGCTGAAGCATCTGGAGCCTGGAAACTCAAGGCAAGCCATTCTTTAACGGGGACCACCGCCTGCCCGGGCAGATTTCCATCTGAGATCTGGGATCCTGAGCCACATTTTAGCGAGGCTGGCTTCCTGCTCCCAGAACCCAAAGGGCTCAGGAACAATCGGCACGCTGTTCCCAAGGACAGGAGCTGCTGCTCGTCAGGAAACCTCCAATCCAGACATGTCTCCTGGTTATCTGGAGGAGCAGCCTGGGGTCCCCAAAACCCACCAGGCTGAACAGCGGGCCTTCCTGAGTTCTTGTTTGTTGCTTTGCGTCTCTCCACCAGGCAGGATCGGTGACCCTCCTTTTCCCACCTGGGGACCTTCTTCTGTTCACCCAGAAGCCTCTCCAGCAACAGAGGTCCCCAACAAACACACCGGGAAGTTGTTGGTTTTTCTTTTTCTTTTTTTGGCCCGGGAACCAATGTTTATGTAAGGACGGTGGAATTTCCTTCAACAAGAGCCTGCATTCATAAGTTATCAAAGGGGAATTGACTTTGGCCAAGGAAAGACAGTGGGCTTTCCTGCTGGGGGGGGGGGAGACTCTTGCCCAGCTCCCGTCCCTGAATTCTGCTCGGCATCTGGGTTTCTTCAAAACAGGCAAGAGGAGCAGCTTCCGAGAGGTGCTTTTCAGCAGGACCTTGGAATCAAGGGGCTGCCCTCGCACTCAGGAGCATCAGCGCGCAAGGACCCCAGAGGTCCTTGAAAGGCAAGGCAGGAACACCACCCATGAGGTGGAACAGGAGCCGGAGCCTTGGCTTGGCCTTCTTGGTGGCCCCTGGAGGGCCACTCCCACCACAGACGTGGATGCCGCAGTCCCAGCTCAAAGGAGAGGTCTGAGTCGAACAAGAGGGAGTGTGCATGTAGCAACATTTTCGGAAGGAAATCCAGCCTCTGTCTTTCGGCCAGGGGTGGACCTAACTGTCCCTAAGAACCCCTTCCCATGGGGTGGTGGCAAAATGCCCCCAGTTTTTACCAGGGACCAAGGAAGAGCAATGCAAAGGGATGGAGACTAGCTCATTGAGGGCTGAAACCCTGGAACAGGTCTCGCCGGAGGCCACTGGAGAGCATACTTTGTGACTCTCTGGGGTCTCCCCCAGGTGTCCCCTTGGCTGCCATGGATGCACCTGCACACAGAGTCATCTCATACAGCAGTCTCAAGAAGCTGAGGGCCAGTGATGTAGTAGACCACAAGGAGAGAAGGGGGGCTGCTGCTTGTCAGCCCACAGAGACGTATTTGCTCAGCATGTGGCAAATGAAACCACACAGGTCTGCCCTGTCTCTGATGCTCCAGTTGCCGCCAGACCCTGCAGATGTAGTGTGGGCCTTTGCATGCTGGAGGAGAGCTCTGTGGATAACCCTGGACTGCCAGAAAGATGAACAAGTGGGTCCTAGAGCAAACCAAGCCTGAACTCTCTCTGGGGATAATCATTTTAAAGCTAAGGCTGTCCTACTTTGGACCCATCCTGAGATCCTCTGGAAAAGACCATCATGCAGGAAAAGGAGGAAGGCAGCAGGAAAAGAGGAAGACCCAACATGAGGCGGATTGACTTCTTAAAACATCCTTCTCCATGGGGGGCCTGGCACTTCTGAAGGGGGCCACGGACTGAAAACAATTCGTCACAGTCCTGATTCGGCCTTATATATTTTTCATATTGTGTTTATGGCCATGGGGGGAAAAGACTGAGAATAGCTGCCCAAAAGGAAGCTGCAGGCTTGAGTTCTCAAGGACTGAGCCGGGCGTTGAGGGCAAGACATCTTGGAAATCACTCATTCATGGGGTTGCCAGGAACAGCAGCAGCAGCAGCAGCAGCAGCAACAACAACAACACATCTTTAAAAGCACCTCTGGGGAGGTGGAGGAGATGCCAGGAAGAGGGCGGTCAGAAGGATGGTTTAGTCACCTCTGAGGATCAGATTAATCAAACTTTTGTTTTTAATTGGTTTTATCTGGCATTTCTTTTTTGTTTTTAAATCTTATGCTCTGCTTGCAATGGTGCACTGGTACCTTCAGCCTCGATACTGCCTTGTTGTTTGGTTGCCCTTCATTTTTAAATTTTGTCTTTCTGTGTGCTTTATTTTAAAGTTAGTGTCAGTGGAGCTGTGAAGCAGTCGAGCTTTTAATGGGAGCAAAGAAAGCTGACATACAGCCCCACCGGTTTGACCAGAATGCCCGGACATGAAGAATCTACAAACAGGAAATTATAAGGGATCCAGGGAATCAAACTTGCCATTTTAACCTCCTGTCTGTATTTTTAAAACAAGAAGTGTAAAAAGCAAAATAAAGATTAAATGGCGTTGGTACTGAGAATGAATTAGGAGAAATTAATTGTATCAAGGCTGGCCAGTTCCTCCTGGGAGAGAATTTCCAGGAGGTTAGACAGTAAAGGAGGTCCAGCAGATTCATTGGTGGGAATCCTATTTCCATCCAGTTGCAAGACATTTTGAAGAGTGGCATTGTAACCTTAAGGGCTAGTCGTTTCACTGGGTTCAAGGGAATAGAAAGGCCTGCCAGGTTTTAAAGCCTTCTTAAAAGTCACCAGCGAAGGGGCCAGGCATGACCAGGAGGAGGAGGAGGAAGCTGACCCCAGAGTCAGGCAGTGACCACTAACTAAGAAGGCTCGGCTCCTGGCTTTCTCCTTCTGGGCCTCTCCCAGGGTCAGCAGCAGCATCCTCCTCAGAGGTCCAGCCTGGGATGGGCAGTTCTCGCTGGAAGAAGGCCTCCTGCCAGGTCCTGAGGTCCCAAACCATTTAGGGCTTTACACCTGTTAGAGACTCATAGCATCGTGTAAGGGCAGCTACTGCCGAGCCGGGATTTACAGAGTTAGAGTTAAAGGGTTAGCTGCCTTGGGTCCTCTTCTAAGGAGAAAGGTGTGGGGAAAATATATTTTGAATAGAATAAATACAGTGGGGTCTTGACTTAAGAACGGCTTGAGTTAAGAACATTTTGACTTAAGAACCACTCTCATAGGAAAATATTGACTTGACTTAAGTACTTAGATTTGAGTTAAGAACTGAAAAAAAACCCACGTGGGAGGCAGGGAAAGTGCAAAATTGGAACTTTCAGTTAACTGTTGGCCAGTGAAAAGGGTGCCTGTCTGCTTCCTCCCTCCTCCCAGCGTTTAGAGAGTGGATTGGGAGACAGTCTTCGGACTGCCTGGTACTGTCCTGCCTGGACTGTATTTTCCCAGCCTTCCCTGAACCTTTCTTGACCTAAGAAAAAAAGAAACAAAATATCCCCCTCTAGTGGTCGAAGGCAGAATAGCAGCTTCCCATTAGTTTTTATGGACGGAAAAGAGCAGATACGGATCAAATGGTTTTCAATGCATTCCTATGGGAAATGCAGATTTGACCTGAGAACTTTTTGACTCGAGAACCGCCTTCCAATACGGATTAAGTTCTCAAGTCAAGACCCCACTGTAACTAAAAATACAGGTACCACTCAGCCTTTTTAAAACATATAGGAAAGAAAGAAATAACAAAACTAAATTAAAATACAAACACAGTACTGACTACATATACAATACACATTAGACATTTCCCACCCGCGAAACCTTCACCCTTGGGACTAGGTGACCAATAATATCAGTTTATACCTGAATATTTTAACCATTCCAACAGGTAGAAAAGCACTGACAGGGGCCAAGTATCCCCTCCAGCTTTGCCGGCCGGAGAGCCTTTCCAGCAATGGCCACCCGGTCCCCCTCTCAACTCACCCATAAGGGCAGGAATGTCCGAAGAGGGGACCCTCCCTCTCCGCCCCCCCATTTACCCCCCAGGACCTGCGGCCGAACCTTCCAAGCCATCTGAGCGCCGGCGCGCTCCTCCTCCCTGGCGCACCGGCCCCCGTCCATTCGGAGCCCCAGGCTGCCTAGAAAACGGGCCGCAGCCTCTGGAAAGAAAGGGGCCACGCTCGAGCCCGACCCCACGGGCTCCGGCGTGCCACGACCCGAGACAAGGGCACGCATCGAATGACGTATATCGAACTGTACATAATTCGTGAGGTATGGCATCATTGACTGAAGCCCCTTCCGGAAATGACAGATGCTGGATTAACCTGAATTCTCCGGGTGTTTTCTTTGGAACCACACCCAAGGGAGACACTCTCAAAGTGGCCAGAGGCGGTTCTGGGAAAGGCCCCAACACCCTTCCTTCCCGTACCTCCTTGTCAATTGTATCCTGCACCACCTTCTCCCTTCCGTGTACCGATTTTAGGTTCTGAGAGAAATATGGTTGTCGTCCACCCTCCGCTGGTATCTGCTTGCTCACAACAGAGCCCTCCCTGAGCTGCTCTGCCCCCCACTTGCCATCCCGTCCGGCCACGG